ATAAATTTATTCCATAAAAAGAGTGTTATTGTTAAGAATCAAAATGATATACAAGTGTCTGAGGAAGCACAATCAAAGCATCCTAAATAAGAATGAGCTTTCAAGACTATATTATAAAGAGTTGACTCTGCTATAGCGTGATTATTCTTTGTAGATGGCTCTGGCGGGATCGAAATAATATTTCTATGTCACGCATTACTTGCAAATATCATATCAAGAGACATGACATTGTTAGAAATAATAGCAAGTGGTGTACCAACAACGATTTTATTGTGAGCCCACCCACTTTAGATTTGATATACCTCTTCAAACAACTTAAATAACCATCACAAATATATCAAAGCGGAGCAATGGTGCTAAATTTATAAAAAAAGTAAAATTAATAATATGGGATGAAGCACTTATGGGTAAGTGTCAAACGTAGTTCTAGAGATATATTGGACATTAATGAACTGTTTAGTAAATTTAATGATTTGGGAGGTAAATTATATCAAGTACTACCAGTAGTTTCAAAATCGACAAAAGCAGAGACTGTAAAATCTAGCTTGCCAAAGTTATACTTCTGGCCTCAAATGAAAAAGATTCAACTGACAGGAAATATAAAGTAAGAACAGATCCAGTATTCAGTGTCTTCTTGCTTTGTGCTGGAAAAGAATAAGAGCATCCAATAAATTAAAAGATGATTTGGTTCTTCCGGAACACTTGGTTATCAATGCCAATGACGATAGTAGTGCATTTAATAAGAGAAATATTTCTATAATTAGATTAACAAGTAATTTGTGCAAACGCATGATGGAATTAAAAAGATATCTTAGCTAGCAGAAATGAATATGTTGATCAACTAAATAAAAGGTTAATTGCAAAATTTTATAGTAAAAACAAAATATTTTTCTGTTTCTGGCTCAGCAGAAAATGATACCAATAATTACTACCAAGAAGAATATTTAAATACTTTAATATTAAACGGTCTTCTACCATATATGTTTGTTGTCAAGTTTATTATTTCTTACGTACGTTAATGCCACTTTATATATAATAGACTAAGATGATCTTCCATTGTATATAGGTTGATTTCGAAGAAAAATATGCCCGTCATGCTACTGAAAAACTTAAATACGCCGAATAACTTATGTAATAGCACACAAATACTATATAGAAGTTTTGACAATAACGTCATACATGCAAAAATTATGATACTGGTCAATTCGCTTCTAAGTATATTCTTATTCCTGAATTCAACTTTCGTCTCCCGAAACTAAGGAATATCCTTTTAAATTTGTGTGAAAATAAATTTTAGTATGTTTATGTTTTGTAAATATAATAAATAAAGTACAAGGACAAACATCTAAAATATTGGACTATATTTACCGCAATATGTTTTCTTGCACGGATAACTGTATGCTGCACTTTCAAGAGGGATA